GATAAGAAGAAATGAATAATGGAATAAGGTAAGAAGAATAAAATTAAATTATGGAAGAAAAGAGCCAATAATATTTGTGATTTTATCTTGATCTTTAACCACAATGTGTATTATTTTAAAGCGCGCTCCGACGCCTGGCCCAGCGCAACGCAGTCTGAAAGCAGCTCATGAAGTTTGGAGGTGGGGGGAGCACTCATACAAATAATAAATCCCCATTCCCCTAAGTGACACTGAAAGTGTTGACTGCGGGCCACCGTTTTGGCACGCGTCTCATGTCCGTCCCGATATATGCGGCGTGGATTTCCTCCAAGAAGACTTTTTCGTGGTTATTCTTACCGTGGAACGGCAGCTGGGAATCGTCCAGTGTAACCACTGGCCAGCCATCAACACGTATCAGGGCCACATGATGACTCAGTACCTCCTCACCATTTGTAATTGTAACATAGGAACAATGTCTCACAAACACGTTGTTTTTAACTCCGTGTGTCTGGTTCCGTCCCGCCTTTCTAATTATAACTCATAAACACGGATGTAATCGTAGATGTTGGTGTAGCAGTAACTCTCTGAGCTTGTATTGGGAATGTAGCCAGTTCGAACCTCGGTCATATAACCGGTCATTCTAAAAAGTGCTCAGTTGTTTTAGGTCTATCTATACTGCTATTATTGTTACTATTGTTCAATGTTTGCTCCTTATTTAAAAATTGTCCCTCTGCTAGATGCGCAGCAGCTGCTAATGTTGTCTGCAGGGATGCTGACGTATTCGGAGACTTGAATATTCAACCCAAACAAATTTTAAATATAGTATAACTGTTAATATTTTATTATTTGCTTGTCCAGTAAAACAAAATGAATTACGTATATTATTATTATCCTCTGTAATTCTATATTATTCATTTCTTAATTAAATATTTATGTTTAATTTATGTTTCATTCCTGAATTCGTAATAACACTTAGTTTAATGATAATGAACTTATTATTACTGTCATAATTATCAACTATTTGTTTGTTTTCTTTTACTTTATTCATTATTATTTCTTCAAGTGTTAACCTGTAATTTTTATTCGACTTTTAATAAGATTGTGTATAATGTCATTCATTCTTCTGCACTGTGCTGTGTCTGTAATTGGCCTTGCGGCTGTTGACTCGGCACATTAATAATAAAGAATTGAATTGAATTGAATTGAATTGTGTCTATCTCGTGGTATTTAAATTGAGGTATTAAAACAGTTATGGGTTCTGGGAAATATTAAAACACATGACATTCGAAAATAGTTAAAGAAAACATCGGGCTTTTTCCAGAGTTTGTTAACGACAACGTGTAACCAGACATCAAAAGTGCCAGTAGTGATTTTCCTGAGAGAGTGCTTTCCTTTCAGAAGCAAACAAAAAAATAAAATTGTACATCCTTTTCAAGTGCTGGTTTTGCAAGTGCAGTTGGAAGATGTTGTGTTTTGTACAAGTGTCTTGTATGCTTATGCTTGCATGCGTTACAGTATCAAACCTTGGTTTAGGTTGATCTTGGAGTAGGTATCCGGGAAATTTTAGAACAATATCCAGAATATAGTGAATACATTAGGGAAAAGATGTAGGAACGTTGTTTGTTGTTAAATTTTAGATAGACTGACTTCATAAGCAGGCTAGATATTCAAATATTATAACCAGTTGTCTGGCTAGTCAGTCGGTGAGATAGTTATTTAACCAGGTGTATTAGCCAGTTGCCAATCACAGTGGCCGCGCGGTCTAAGGCATGAACTGCCTTCGCCCGGTCAATTACTTAGATTGTGGGTTCGAATATCACTTGAGGAATGGATGTCTGTGTAGTTTATTTTATGTTTGTGTTGTCTTGTGTGTAGGTAGCTGCCTTGCTACGGGTTGATCCCTTGCCCAAGGAGTCCTACCGATTGAGTAAAAGATCAAGAAACTGAAAAAGCAGTCAAGGCCCAACAGGTAGATAGGTAGATAGATATTTAGTCAGACAGCTGTTTACGAAGGAATACCCAGATGGGTAATGTGGCACCGCCAATTGACGAGGGATCTACAAGGAATGAGATCAATGCGTCAATCGTTTCTGCCAAAATATGGAGTCACTTTAGCGATCATATAAACACAGGCCAGGTTGCAGCTTGACGCTTCTTCCCAGAAATGAACTTCTGTTGTGAAAAAACTGAGGGTGTGCTCAACCATTAAGCGAATTATTTCATGGAAAGGGCCTTGAGGTGATTTTCCTGGAATGTCTGACGAATATCGTGAAAATCAGAGTGGAAATGCACGAAATTTGAGCAGTGTACATCGTACAAAGGGAATTCATAATAAGTGTTCTGTCTGTCTGTCTGTCTGTCTGTCTGTCTATCTATCTATCTATCTATCTATCTATCTTTCTGTCTGTCTGTCTGTCTGTCTGTCTGTCTATCTTTCTGTCTGTCTATCTTTCTGTCTGTCTGTCTATCTATCTATCTATCTATCTATCTATCTTTTTTATAATATCAATGGAGTTATGTAATTATTTGACCTTAAGAACATTTCTTTGTCACTATTTGGTGCAAGTGCTCTAAATATATATATTTTTTTTTTATAAAATAAAATGGCTTATTAAGAAGACGATGACCATCTCTCTCAAAATTCGTACAGAGCATCTTAATATAGAAATAACAGTTCTCTTATTAAGTAGGTACCGTATTCGAATTTCGGCAGGTTTTCCGTTCTAGTGATTGCCCTCAATTTCGGTTAACTAATTCTAGAAGAGTTCCTTCAAGCAGGCAATGAACCGCTCCTTCAAAATTCATATATGACATCTGTAATTACCTTTCGGCCTATTTGATAATGTATTACATCTACAGTTCAGAAAAATTCTGTCAAATATCCTAATGAACAATCATACTGCAGTCACATAAAATGGCGGATCCAGAATTGTTATCACCTCGATAAGAGTATACTGATATTACGTAATATCAAGAGTAATATTGTAAGGGATGGGATTGTACATTTTAAGAAATTTACTCTCTTTCTGTGAGTGTGACATGCTTCCCCAGTAAAACAAAAAGCCATCGGATGTTTGTTTCTTAGTTTATTTAACAGTGCTTCCATATTTGCATGCTTTACATGGCTTGGAATGGGAAAACAATCGCCGGTTACTAAAGAGATGGGTTAGCAAGTCATATTGATATGTTCTAAGATGTCTCAGAATATGCCTCAAGGGAAAAAAAACATGCAAAGTCTTCCGGATATCCTTAGAAAGAGAATCGAACCGCAGGACTCCATACGTAAAGTAGGAGCAGTAACAATTCAACAACACTGTTCAGTGTCACGTGTTTCTTTTCTTAGCTAGAAGGAAATTGTGTGTAACCGAGCACGGAATACAGTCTGTCCAACATACTGGAAAGGAATAATCGAGGAATGTTTGTTGTTCCAGACAGTAAGATAGTTACAGAGTGTTGAGAAGAAATGCACGCGTGAAGATTTATATCTTCTGGTATATAAAGTCATGTAGTCTGTTGAAAGTCAACTGACGTTTCAGAGTCGACATGTTCCTCCGGAACGTCGGTTGACTTTTAACGGACTACACGACGTTATATCCCAGAAGATTGAACTGTGCATAACCGCTGCTATGAAAACCTCAAGTCATTTAAATGTACATGTATTTAACTGACTGACAGCTTAAGTCCCTTCCCCTCCAAAAATAAAACTCGTTTCAGGTTAAGTATGCCTAAGTATTTTACAGTGAATACTTTAGGGACTTTAGTATTAAATGAAGAAAAATATATCTCATAATTATTATGATTTTCCATTAATCGAAATTCACCTGACATACAATAAACTGAAATAATTACATCTGCAAATTCGCGCACTTGTTATCATTTGAAGAAATTGAAAGTTTTTATTAGGATCGCAAAATATTAATTGAAATACGCATGTAAATTAATTATTAAAATATAACAATTCAAAATTTTTATTGTTTAATATTTAGTACTTCTAATGATTCTTTCTGCTATGAGAATATACAGCCTTATGAGTTTGATTTGTTTCATTCTGGTCCGTCACACTAACAATTACAAATATAAATCATCATCAGTGAAAACAGCACAGCAGCCACGAGCAAAGCCTGGACGATATAAAGAACCTCCACATCAAGATAGGCAGGTGGCACAATATCTGCCCCATATAATAGGGACGATGGGAGGACGAACACGAGCCTGCATGGTTTACGAATTTTAATTATTGACAATCAAAAAAAAAATTTAATTAGCATCAAGAAATTTTATACAATTTTATAAAAAACTTTACATTCCCGGGAAACTGCTGTGTTTGTGAAATGTTCTATTTTGTGTACTATGCATTGTAGCATATAAGTGTACGTACTTTACGTCTAAACAACTTATGTGATGGTGGTTTCCTATTTGTAGTGATGTTTGCCCTCTGAAGATGGTCTACAGAGACCGAAACATGTAAGGGTGTTAAGTTTTCGTGTAGTAAAAAACTTACAGGTCACTTTGGGCGGAGTGATTTATATTTGATACAGCCTTATTTTCATTGGAGATATGAAGCACGGTCTTTAAGTTAAGAATACAGCGTAGTAAACGAATTTCATTGGAATAATTCTATTGTACTTTCATAGACAGCGCTGTGAAAACCTCAGATCTAGTTGTTTACACTGTTCTGATAAATGAAAAACAAAATATCGATTACTTCATAACACTGTTAACACGAGACATGAGAGCGTTTGCGTTACACACATGCATAAAAGTTGATATGACTTTCATAACGAAGAATCCATAAAATTCGGTTAATGAATGCATGAAAGAGAAACAACCAATTCAATGCTAAACATGTATTAGTTGTTTTATAGAAATCCTTAATTCAATCCCCGTCAGATGCTAATGTGTCAGTAATTTCTATAACTTGAGCGAAAGAAGAAGAACACGAAGAGAACATTCAGTTCCAAGTTCCAGACACGATACTTAAATACCTGAAAATCGGTAGATAATTCTAATTGTTTACTCACCTGTGGAATGACAGAAGAATGTGAAAATCGTGAGGAAAGTCCAGGATTTGTTGTTGCTGCAGCAGTCTGACATGATTTCTCGAAGATAAAATGTCATTACCGCGATATTAGCTTCTTCCTTATTCTTAAAGCTTAAGAAATAAAAGTCATTTAGTTCATAACACTTCATCTACCGTCATTTAACTGATAACTCATGTTTCTATACCACATATCGCTTTACGGTACATAAAGAAGGGTTCTTTGAAATATCTTGACATCTATTATTTATTTATTTTGAAACCGGTAGTGATACTGACATATATTCTAATATGTGTGAAATTGTATCTCGAGGTGCACATTTATATTATATTATTATTTATTATTGGTAAGGAAAAGAGATTTCAAAATTTAATACTTTACAAAATTCTCTCTTCACATAGAGGAAATGCTAAATGATTCATATGTTTTATAATGTGGGATGTAATGTTAAGCATTCAATAAGCTGTTTATATTAATTGAATGTTTTCAGTTTTCACTCACAGTCTTTTGAAAATATCAGCGTTAAAGAACATATAAATGTACTAGCACTTAATTGTTAAAAAGCAATTCTTCTCACACACATATTACAGTCTCCAGAACTCACAACATATTTTTCATATTAAGCGCCCGAAAAAACAAAATAAAGAGCAACTCTATGTTGACAAATGTGACGGTGCATCACTCTGGGATGTTGAAGGTGAAGTGACTAGCAGGTGGTCGGTTGCGTCGCCGATTGTTAGCGCCCCCAAACACTGACGACCGCAGCGTCCAATCCGCCCACGTCCCGCGAGGACGTCCGAGAGCTATGTACTGACGACACCATGTCTGTAACACATACGGCCGCGCCGCCTGTGACGTCATTCATACATTTCTTATTGGTCCACTTCGCTCGGCGCTTTACATGCGAACTGTGACGGGGATATCGACGCCTGCGCTCTGACTGCAGACACCGTGCACAAAAACTTTGGGTACCTTTTACTGTGGGTTCTATTATCATCTGTTTCTTGCTCGGATCATACGTACGTTTTACTTTTACAGTTCCTAGGCATCGTGTTGCGTTTTTACCAGAAATAAATAACGGTAGAGCATCGTTAAGATGGTTGTGACAAATATGGAAGAAAGCAGTCTTCTGGGATTTGGCACCGTGTATATGTGGTGTTAACCGACGTTTCGGAGGAACGTATCGCCCCCATCTNTCTGCAATCATCTTCAGGAAAATAATCTCTTGACAAAAACAAGCTCTGCCTAACGGGCCCAATAAACGGGAAACATCCTGTTATGCCTGAAAACGGAGGCAGACATCCCTCTGAAATTTTGTATTTTGTTATGTATTATAATTTTGGTTTTGAAAATGAACATAATCCAACCATACCCAATACAGGAAAATCAAAATGAGTATATTTGTATGCACTGACACAATTCATGTATAAATACTGGCATAGATTGCTTAGGTTAAATGTTAACACATGTTTCGACATTTATTGGTTCATCATCAGGTTATCAATTTGTGCTTAGGTGCTGAACTCTTTGTTTAATATGGGCCGATGTTTCTTTTTTTTTTAATTTGACCATATGATATGTGATATGGATCCATATTAAACAATAAGCTTAGCACTTAAGCACAAAATTATAACCTGATGATGACTCAATATGTGTCGAAACATGTGTTAACTTTAAATGTAAACAACATATAATAGTTTTTTATATGAATTGTTGTGTTGACGGATAAAAAATTTTCATTTTGAATGACACATGACAGGATGAAACTCATGAAGACAAAAGAGGAAAGTACTAGGCAGTTTTGAAAACTGTCTGTAGCCGTACTGATATGGAGTCTGGAGATAAAGTCGCCCTTCTGAAGTACCACAAGGGACGGCAAGTTATGATCCACTGAAGTAAACAACTTTCTTGCCAAAAATCGGTCCTTTATTATTTCGCACACCTCGTGTGATCGCCCTTTTTAAGTACCAACAAGGGCCGTAAGCTCTGTTCCACTATGTACATACCTATCTCATCCAAATGAGTCCTTTAATATTTCCCACATCATTGACTTTTATACAACCTATTGTAAATCAGAATATATTGCTACAAAGCAAATCATGCTTCACAGTGACAGAAATTATTTCCGTTAACAAACTCCACGAAGCAGAATCTTTCGAGAAAAGTCTATAATTGCTTGACTAACGAACTCACCGCATTTTATAAACCCGAAGATTCATTACCATGTTCGCATTAATTCCTGTTCTGAGCCAGACGAATCCAGTCGACACTCTTCCGTTCCATTTCTCAAGCTTACATTTTAACATATCTGTCCTAGACGTACGTTTCCAAGTGACCCCTTTCCTTCTGTACGGACCAAGACAGACTTTTCTGACTGACTAAATATGTTCAGGCATAACCGGCTGCTCAAGCCTGCATTGACAGTTCATTTTAAAACATATTACGTATTTATTATAATATATAGGCCCCCCAACAGCTCAGGCGGTTAGTAACTGTTAGTAACAGAGTGGCACTGAGGCAGGTTTTCCCCAAGTACTTCGGTTTCCCCTGCCAATCTTCATTTCACCAATTGTTCCACAATCACCATTATCTATCATCTGGGGTTGGTACTGCAGGCCAATAGTGGCCGCAGTACCAAGTGAACTCAGTCTCACCCAACTAACAATAATAATATTAATAATAATAATATAGTGTATTGACAAATAAATATAGTGTTACTTACTTACTTACTCATGGAGCTGAGCCCTTCTTGAGGAGCCGCCAATTCTGCAGCTACTCAAGAATTTCCCAGCCTTCTATGGAACCCGAAGGTTCATTACCGTGTTCATAAGAGCACTCCACTGGTCCCTATCCTCAGCCAGATCAATCCAATCAATATCATCCCATCCTATTTCTCTTAAGATCCATTTTAATATTGTCCACCAGCCTACGCCTTGATCTTTCCTGTGGTCTCTTTCCTTCTGGTTTTCCCACTAATATCCTATACACATTCCTCTTCTCTCCCATTCGTGTTGCATGCCCTGCCAACCTCATCGTCCTTGACTTGATCATGCTAATTATACTTGGTGAAGAGTACAAGTTATGAAGCTCCTCATTATGCAGCTTTCTCCAACCTCCTGTCAGTTTAAAGAATAGTGTTAACAAAACATAAATTCCCTTACCTGGACGCGGGTACACTCGTGCTGAATTATAGTGCACCAAATTATGAAAGAACAACCCCTCCTCTCATCGAAGAGGAGACTCCGTTTCCAAACATACAAATAATCTTGGAACCAGCAGAGAATTCGCCATGAATTCTGACGGAGCCCGAAACCAAAAATACCTGTGCTGACGACAGCTGTCAGCTATTTACTGCTATACTATGCTTATTGGTGGGAAGCTAGAAGGAAAGAGACCACTAGGAAGACCAAGACATAGGTGGTTGATAATGTTAAAATGGATCTTAGAGAGACAGGATAGGGTGGTATGGATTTGATCGATCTGACTCAGGACAGAGACAAGTGGAGGGCTCTTGTGAACACGGTAATGAAGCTTCGGGTTCCATAAAATGCTGAGAGGTTCTTGAGTAGCTTCACAATTGGCGGCTTCTCAAGTAGGGCTCCGCTCGATGAAGTTAGTTAGCTAGGCTATATATATCTCTTCTCGCTCATGCATACTACAGCTATATACTCTGAGGTAACTTGATAAATAAATACATAAAGGTACTTTTGAGAACATTGACGAGGATGGCAATAAACCGGCATTCTCCAAGTGTTTCGACGACCTGAACAAATAGTTAACTTTCATCAGGTGGGGTGTCAGAATGAGAACGGAAACTGCAGCACTCCAGTTGCAAGCTTCCCGGCCTAATGCCTAAATATGTGGATAGCGTTATCGGCTAGCAGAGGAATCTGTTTGAAGTTTCATGGGATAGAATCATTTTGAAGAATCAACAGAGGATCTACTGATTAAAAATTTTATTTTGTCGAAGCCGCTTCTGGACACAGTCATCTGTTATGAGATTTATGGTACATGTCATAACATTCGTGCCCAGTTAAAGCAACCTGTAGGTTCACATTTGCCTTTCCGCTATATAAAACTACATCTAAAATATGTTTACCAAAATAATCGTTTTCAACTCGGTCAGTATAGCAACTAGGCTACGCACTGAATGTCCGAAAAGTCGGGGTTCGATTCCCTGTAAGGGCAAAAATCTTCTCTTCTACGCAATCTCCAGACCGATTCTGCGGCCATCCCAAAATCCATACCATATACACCTTCATGGCCTGATGTTTGTTTAATTAATCCCAGGCATAGATCACTTTATCTCAATTTGATTTGTTTCACCCTGCTCCGTCACACTAACAATATCATGTAAAGTTAAACAGTTCGGTCTGGTGTACCTAGTGAAGATTTTTCTTATTTAAATTATTTAAGCCCTTACATGTTTCGGTCTTCAGAGACCATCATCAGAGGGACACCTTTACATCAATACAGTTAGAAGCCACAATTACAGTACATGTTCTAAAAGTTAAATTGTATACATATAATATTAATCATATACAATTGGGTATAAAATCTAAAGTCCTTACAACTACAGCGGCTGTTCCAATATATTAAAATATTTATAATTGGTTTGTTAAGACTATTGGAATTCGTAAACCAAGCAGGGTCGTGTCATCCCTTTTATTATTTCTTTTGACGGGGACCAAATGTGTGTCCCCTTGTCGTTCCCGAGGAGAGGGTTCTTTGGTGTCCTGTATGTGTTTGTGGCGCTCTGTGTTGTTTATAACAAACTATTTATAAATATTTTAATATATTGGAACAGCCGCTGTAGTTGTAAGGACTTTAGATTTTATACCCAATTGTATATGATTAATATTATATGTATACAATTTAACTTTTAGAACATGTACTGTAATTGTGGCTTCTAACTGTATTGATGTAAAGGTGTCCCTCTGATGATGGTCTCTGAAGACCGAAACATGTAAGGGCTTAAATAATTTAAATAAGAAAAATNACATTAATCACACTAGACAGAATTGTTTAACTTTACATGACGCTTTATCTCATTTGGCAGTATTTCCATATTCGCCTCATTAACTAATTTTCGATTTTTCATATCTCGGCAACTGGTGAAATGTCATTGACGTCGATGAATTCGAAGAAGGACGGAAGATCTTATGACTCCATTCTCAGTTCAGCCACATGAAAGGATCGCCTATTGGAACGAGCAGGTAATTCAGGGCTCACGTTACGCGTAGGCGAACCCTCGAAACATAAATCCATGTCCTGAGTAAGAAATTCGAGTTCCTCAGTTTATTACAGAGTTTGACGAATCTGACAAGCCGGTTTGTATGTTTATTTATGGTAGCTCCGTGCAGTGGCGTAACAGAAATAACAGATGAGCGGTTTTAAAGTGATCATCAGCGAACCTCAGTGTCCAGAAGTGTAAGATACTGCATAAAATTAATATCCTATTTTCCACTGATAGGCCAGATATTTGTGGTCGTTATAGTTTTAGTTGGAACTGTATCTGACAATAGTATCGACTGCTTCCTTCACGTTGAATGCAACGTGCGACTATAAGCTGTATCGAATGCTGAGACTGGTCATCTGTAGGTTGTTTCTGCCATATTCTGTTTAACCGTTCCTCTTCAAAAAACAAACTCCGTGCTCTTAGTCCGCAAGCCAACTATACCGACCGAGCGATCGCTGCTTGTCGGCGAATTTAGTGCCAACTTTAGCTGATAGAGGGTGTCGCGTGGTCAGCGCAACGAATCCCCACGACCG